TTTATGCCTACTTGCATATGAACTCTAAAGCTAAAGCATATACGGTGATCCATATTTTCTCATACATAGAACACTACAATGTCACTTGCTCTCAGCCCGCTGAAGTGCTTTAAAAAAATTACTGTATTAGTTTTCTTTTTTTTAAAAAAAAATTCCTAAATGAACCCTGTCTTCTTCAGCCAGTAGAAGCACTTGGAAATATATAAAATGATTTGGGTCAGAAGAAACTTGAGAGTCAGCTAGCCCAACATGAAACAGAATTTTCAATGCCAAATATTTGTGTCAAATCAGCTGTCGGGAAGACTGCAGCCTATGTAATAGTGAAAATCATCGTCTCAAAGAAGAAAATGAGAAGAATAATCTACCTGTTACATGATATCAGTAAGGTGATTTGACAGTTATAGGTCATCACTCACTGTTGAACAGGACACAGTTTTAAAAGGTGCATATTGCCAGTGTTTTCAAATGTTTCCATAGTTTGGTTTTTGGCTTTTAATCTAGCTATTAAAACACTGGGGTATAGCAACATTTAGAGGGCTGGAGAACAGAACCTGTTGCCAAGAAGTCAATGAATCATAAAAGTGTCTGAAAGTTTAGGGCTTTGGGAGCTTTGCCTTCTATGTACCTGCAAGTAGTCAGCAGGAAAGAGCAGGTGGGCAGGTGTTTAGGAGGCGCTGGAGTGGTCACTCACTATTTTCAACTGCATGCCTGTGCATGATTGCGGTGGTTGCTTATTTGTCAAGGCAAAAATGGGGCACTGCTCCACCTTAGGCTCTGAGTAATCCCAGCCATCCCTCTCCTGTCTATTTCCTCACCAGAGGCAAAGGGCCTCTCTCTCTCTCTCTCTCTCTCTCTGTGTGTGTGTGTGTGTGTGTGAGAGAGAGAGATATTCTGTTTGCATATCTATACCCACTTCTGCCCTTGGCCTAGCATCACTAGTTGTTGTGACTTCCATCCTATCAACAACAATGGGCACCAGCTGCCACTAGCTGTTTGAGTGTGCAACTGGACAGTCAAGTTCGAGGAGGCTGGATTGAACTCATTAGGGTTGTGTAAGGTTGCACAGAGGAGTGGTATGCCATTTGGTGCAATCCTTGCATTCACGTGAAAGGATCGGGTGATTTTGGATCAAGAGACCACATTCCACTTAAAGCAACCCTATTTCGTCCACTTCTTTTTAAAGGGGACGGAGAAAAAAAGAAAAGAAAACACAGAAAGGGATCTCCCGCATCCCCTCCTGTCTCCTCCTCCTGCCAAGAGGAAGCTTAATTTTTTTAAAGGCACAGTGCATCAGCAGTGCCTTACAACATGACTCAAAAAACAAACCAGCCTTTGCTTCCTCTCTCTTCCCTTACACAGAGGAGCAGGAGGAACTTTTCAGTTTCCCAACATTGACAAACGGCTGAAGCAGACAACTGAAGCCATTCACTTCAGTTTGATCCCAGCAACCACACATGCTGAAACTGAACCAAAACTCTAGCCAAACAAACAAAGAAACAGAAAAGAGTGGCCATGACAAGGACCCCCCTTGATGCAAGTAGGCACGCATCAAGGATGGGCTACAAAGACGTTTTTAAAACACAAAATAAAAAATTTTGGTGCAAAATACAAAGTTGTTACATTACATCTCCTTTTACTAATTATACTGTTCACCAAAATAAGACAAAGCAAAGCGAAACACAGATTTTTTTTCCTCTTGTGCAGGATTGAAAAAAATCTCATAGTGGTTGATCATTTTTTTCAATATATTAGATTTTTTTTTTCAATCAAGGATGATAAGAATTGTGAATATTCATTACATCCTTATTTTAAAATACAACCACCACTTCCTACATAATTAATGTTAGGACATTAATGTCCTGCACTGTGCTTACGGCCTTTATGACATGCAAAAAGAGCTGCTCCTGTAGACAGATATAAGCTATAGTTAAAATCAGGTTAAGGATTTTTTTAAAAATGAGGCAAGATTGGTATTCGTTAAACACTTCACAGCAGCAGTAATGTAAGTCGCAACTTTTCCAAATCATGGTTGCAATTAAAATTTTTTTAAATGATTTTTTTAAAAAAATAGACTTTAATTTGCCCATGCCTTTCCCTTGTGCTGGAATTGTTGTCTTCACAGGTTTCCACTCGTCAGGCAAACCCCTGTTGCCCGTATAGCTCCAATATGTCTGCCTCAAGTGGAACTACCATCCTCTTGTTTTTACAGGTGATAAACGGGGGCATCATTCAGGTCACTATCTCAGTTTTCTTTTGTTGAGATCTATTGTTATGTTGTTTCTTCTTTTCGCCTTTAGTTAAGAGAAAGTACTGTGTCTTCCGATTTATTCACCCTTCCCTTTCAGAGCTCTTTTTCTTTTCTTGTTGTGTCCAGCACTACTCTTGCCATCAAAAATGTAATAGCTCAGAATTCCTGAAGCTCAACAGGAAATGCACGGTTACTGATGGATTTCTGCACATCATACACTATAGCAAAAAAGTGGACAGAGATTGGATAGTAGGCATGTATATCTCTTTGTGTTGCTTCTTTTTAAAAAAAATGACAGGAGAAACATTTTACAAAATCCTTGAGGGGGGAAATAAGAGCTCTTTGTCTTGTTCTTGGTTGGAGGCAAGGAATTTTGCAAGTCTTCGTAATTTTATTTTATAGATGTGTCTCATTTTGTTGAGACAGCCTAAATAGATGAGAACACATTTGGCGAGAATTCTTTCCCTCCTTATTGGTCGGTACAGCATGTCACAAGCATCCAGACTTCACTCTTCATCTTCTTATGTGCCATCAAGATGCTTTCAACTTCTGGTGACCCTATTAATTAACGTCCTCCAAAAGATCTTACCAGTAACAGTCCAACTCAGATTGTGTAAACTCAAGGCAATCGCTTCCTTTATTGAATCAATCCATTTTATATTTGCTGTGTCTCTTTTCCTGCTGAATTCATATTTTCTCCCAGCACTGTTGTCTTTTCAGGAATTTTTATCCTTGTCATGGCACGCCCAAAGTACAATAACTTCAGTTAGTCATTTTTGTTTCTTGATAGAGTTCAGGGCTGATGTTATCTAGTATCTATTTATTTGTCCTTCTGGATGTCCATAGTAGCTATAAAAGTTGCCTCCAACATTTCAAATGAACTGCACCAACCCAAATGGAAGGGAGTGATAGTTATGCATTTACCATGTTCTTATGTTGTCAGTAAATACCAGCAGGGGTACTTCCATGATGGAAAGTGGCAAAGTGCAATCTGGTGAGAAAATAGCTGGCATACATGTGCATGAACATGCAGGATATCACACCATTACAAAGGGTGGGAGATTGCAAGACACTTTCCCATTTAGCTTTCCCCTCTGCTTAGCCACACCACATGAACTTCTGGCAATAAGCTCTTTGGACCAGGAATGGATGAGAAGTTCATTTCAGTTAGCTTTTTGTATAAAATTACTAAAATGGTCAACACTTCTTTATATTCAAGGTGGAGAGCACTTGACGTTTAAAACAATTCAAATGGGGGCAAAACCAAATTGACAAAGTTTGTCCATCTTGGCTTAGGATCTGAGTGCTTAACTCTTAAAAGTCTGGGTATGAACTCCTGCATACATTGATGATACTGCTATATTTGTGATACACATTTGTCACTGAAAGACATTTCCTCTTTACTACCTATATACCCAATTAACCAAAAATTCAAAATTAACCCAAATCAGTGTGTACAGCTATTCCCAGTATGAGTCTGGTTCATATAGATGTGGGAAGAGATTCATTTTAGTTTGTTTTGAAGAATATATCAAACTTTGAATAGTTTTTTTTTGTATCTGAGATGAAAATTTCAAATGCAAAAGAGAGCAAAACTGGCCAGTTTACTCATCCCTCCTTTGGATGATGATGTATATCTATGCACAGCTATGCATAGGAGAAGCAGGAGTAGAAAGTTCTCCCATATGAGTTCACTGTTCCCTTTTTTTGGAAAGAAAAGGCCTCTAGGACTGTTAAGTAAGGATAGGAAAACCCTATGGAACCAATAGAAGAAACAACAAATGGCTGTTGATGAATTGACCCACTGCAAGGAAAATACAACGAAAAAAAATATTCACAGCATGCCTACAAATTTCTCTTTCAAAAAATTGCTATTTAAATCAAGAATATCAATAAATATAACTCATAGTATGTAGCTGAATATGAAACTCAACGCTATTCACAAAGTACTGTATACCGATATTGTACAATCTCTCAGTGTTAGAGTACTTTCACAGATCGTAAAACCAACATGGGAATGACAAAAATTAGCAGATTCCATTAGATGTACAGCATAATGCAAAATGGCCTACTTCCAGAGGCTGCCTCCGTTCCATGATGTGAGGAAATGTCTTGAGAGTCAGCTATATGGCCAAGATTAGATTTCAATCCATACAAATCTAGTTGTGAAGAAAACAAACCTCTAATGCTTAGGTATGAATCAACACTTCCAGTGATGTGTACTACAATTTCTTTTATACACTTTACGCATTTCATAATCTTCTTTCATTCTTCAGCAAACTCATTTGATCTACAGCTGAATGCTTTTTCCAGCATTGGGTATAATCCCTTCCGCCATTCAAACAATTTGCAGGTTCACCATACAGTTCTTTATCTTTAGATTACTCCTCTGAGACAGAAAACATCCCATCTTAAAACACACAGCAGGATCGGTTTAGGTGAACTGAAGGAGCAATAACCCTCAGATAATGTACACAGTCAGCTCTTTGAAATACTAACTGATTTCCTCCATTTCTTCTGTGTCAAAAATGATATCCCCTCCTTCTCTGTAGTTCCCTCAACCTTCATCACTATATGTATTTTCAGAGTCAATCTCATTCTTCCCCCCTTTGTTTCCCAGTATTTTGCAACTGTTAGATAACTTCAGAAAATAATAACAAAGGTCTGCTGTGTTCACTTAAAGCTTGCTTTGGAGCATCTGCTAGATGTTACTGATTGAAATGGGTTTTAGTCCATTGGCGTGATTACTTACAGGTGGCCCTGGTGGTCCAGTTTTTCCAGGAACCCCAGGCTTACCACGGCGTCCCTGGGTATAAACAAATAAAGAAATGAACAATGTGAATAGTCCATAAATATGATAGCAGGACTTATATGGAATAGAGCAGTCATTTCTTTTGAAACAGCACAAATGTCTGCAGAAAAATAACATCTAATAATAGCCTGATCTGATGTTGCAGTTTTTGATTCTGCTATGACAATGTAACTGCTGCAGTTTAAAACACTAACAAGCCAGATAGAACAAAACTACATACATTCGATTCTGTCGATGTGCCTTCCATAATGCCTTAAGACCCATTCAAAAGCACATCCAAATTGTTGGTGTATGTATATCCTCCAAGTAGGACCAAAGTTAGTCTTACATATAGGAGAGGTCACAAAGATATGCCCCACTCAATCTGCACTTCCTCCTTTATGCCCCCTGCCTGTTGCCCCACAACCGCAAGGCCAGTCTCCTGTCTTCTCTACTAGTTTCACTAGCTGTCTAGTGATTATATTTCAATACAACCCATGTTCGGCACATGTGGGCAAAGCTGCCTCTCCTTATGAAACCTGCTCTGAAAATCGAGAATACAGACAATGCTGGGGAGAGGGGGATATTGGAAACAACGTTACATCAATGCAAGATGTAAATCAAATTTGGCAGCTCCCACACCAGTAAAAACTTGCAAAGCCTCAGTTACATCAGCATTTAGGGTAACAATGTTTCTTGGACAAAATCTGTTCCAAACGTGGTATTTTAAAATTTTGCTTCAGATTTGCCACAAGACGTGGGACCTTCAGCACATCTTACGATGAGCTTAGTTTAGCATGTAGAGAGCCTGCAGCCCTGTGATGGGGCTAGAAAAGGATTGCCCCCAAAGTGGTTGCAATTAACTTTTCCCCAAGGCTCAAGTTTCTTCTCCTTTTGGAGACAAATACCTTCGCTTATCCATAGTTGTAGTTTTAGAAGAGGTTGGTGTGTCAGCCTTGTTGGCATATCAGGCAATAGTAAATGAAGATTTTTAAATAGACAGACAGACAGACAGACAGACAGACAGACAGACAGACAGACAGACAGACAGACAGACAGACAGACAGACAGACAAAAACGGTACCACAACCTTTTTGTCTTTAGTGGAAATCTATCTCGGCTGTTTGACTAGGTAACACTATGAGACCCTCATTGCCTAAAATTACTCCAGGAAACAAAACAAAGATGGGAGCCAACAGATTTGCAAAAAGTGGACACCCAGACACTTAATTTGTTACTTATTTATTTTTCAAAAATATTTCGGAAAGCTTTAGTTTTGTTCCTTTCAAAAGCACTATAACATTCAGAACCTTCACAGGCCAATCTCTGCTCAAACTTTTTGCAGTTGCAATTGCTCACATCCAAAAATAGTTACCCTGATACTTATAATACCCACTGTCCTGGTAAACAAAGGGACGAAGCATCTCCTTGAATGGATGCTAAGAGCCTATAATACAGCGAGAGATGGGTATTTTGCAGTGAAATCAATTATATCCCATAGTTTTAATATAGCTATATATTAAAGAAGTACTAGCTAAAATCACACTGAAACAAATTCATATTTAATGTGCATGCTCACTTGGTACATCCATAAAAGAGCCACTGATCCATCAGTGAAGTGATAGAACTAACTAAATGACCAAAAGAGTGAATTTATTCCACCACAATTTTAATTACCGTGTTTCCCCGAAAATAAGAAAGGGTCTTATATTCATTTTTGCTCCAAAAAATGCAATACGACTTCTTTTCAGGGGGTGTTTTATTTTTTTCATGTACAGCAATCTAAATTTATTCAAATACAGTCACATCTTCTTCTGGTTGCTGCACAATGGTGGAGGGTGGAGTTTCACTTAACTAGGGCTTATTTTGGGGGTAGGGCTTATATTACGAGCATCCTGAAAAATCATACTAGGGCTTATTTTCAGGTTAGGCCTTATTTTAAGGAAAACAGGGTAGCACTTCTTTTGAATGCTGTTTCAGTGAGAAGAGCATTTTGATAGAGCTCCTATCACAATACAGCAAATTCAGATGAATGGCATAACATACACAGCATGAATCTATGATATAGAACTACAATATAATTGTCACCCTAAGTCATATAAACCAGGCTATGTGTAATAGATTTACAAATGTCCTGCTCTCATTTGCTAGCCTAGTTTTCAGCTATGTTGTAAGTGAAGTGAATTATGTGCTTCCTATTTATTGATCTCCATTGCTTAAGTCATCTGTCACCTGCTGAGATTTCCAGCCAGCTAAACCTTGATTCCAAGAGCTAAACAGTTCTATGGGAATCTAAGACCAGAAAAGAGTAGATTAAAATTTTTCAGCAGCTATATGTCTTATAATATCACTTTTTAAAGTTCATGTATTTCACATATGGTGATACATTTTAAATCAGCTTGTTAGCTTTTAATTTCACAGCTTTTAAAGTGTTGTTATTGTGGTGTTGGTGTTCAGATATATGAATGCTTGCACTTCAAGGACAAATGGACAAAGAGGTATAAATAGTCCTTCTTTAAAAGCTGGTTCATTTAATTTTATTCAAGAGCACAAAACCTTCCAGCTCTCATCACACCTATTTTGAATTTAAGCAGCTCTAAAACAATGATTTTGTGACATATTCAAACCAGTCTTCCAGTAATCACAATACAGGGTAGCAAGAGAAATTTGTCCAAAAGAACCTGGACTTAAATCCAGTCTTAATTCCAACTAGAATAGACCATCTGAAATTACATTACTTGAGATCAGAGGTGCATGAGTACCACACAGTGCCATTGGTTTTGTGAATGTGGTGGATCCTCAGTGTGTAGGCAAAGTTGCTAACAACTTCTTATGTCCTTTCACTCTCTCTGCTGCTCAACACATGCAGTTGCCTACTTCCAACCTTCTATGAATCCACTCTGTATCAGCTAGAAGCCAGCAGCAGGCATTAAAAAAGAAAACAATAGCAGAACAGAGAAAGATAATCGCTAGCACTACTTTGATCTCACCTAGTCAAAGCCTGCACAAGAGATTCAGCCACCTGTTCCACATTCACACACACTCTTAATCCTAGGTTTAATGAAGACTCATTGTAGCAAAAAGACAAAAAAAGTGAGGGAACTGCTAGAATGCAAACAGTCAAGTAAGCAATGTAGCACCCTCCATTTGCCACACCTGGATGCAAAATGGCTACTCAGTCATGTGAATGGGGAATACAGTGGTGCCTCGCAAGATGATGTTAATTTGTTCTGTGAAAACCCCTGTTTTGCGAAAACATTGTCTTGCAAAATGCGGTTCCCCATTGGAATGCACTGAAATCTATTTAATGCGTTCCAATGGGGGAAAAAATCATCATCTTACGAAAATCGCCCATAGGAAAAATGTTTTGCAAAGCTGTCAAAATTGCTGTCTTACAAAAAAAAATCCCTAAAAAAAAAGTTTTGCGAAGCACGGACCCAGCTGTCAAAATTGTCGTCTTGCGAAAAACCATCCCGAGAAAAAAAACCTGTATTGCGAAGCACAGACCAAAACATCGTCTAGCGAAAATCGCCCGTAGGGAAAACCATTTTGCGAACCGCTATAGTGATCGCAAAAACCCATTGTATTGCGAGGCACCACTGTACGTACATAGGGTCTGGTAAGTCTGACCTGAACCCGTCCCAGAGCTCATATATTGGTGTTTCCAGGAGAGGTTTTAGATTTCATTGAGCTTCAAGTGTCAACGTCCTTCTGCTTTGGTGCTTCCTTCTTTTGATACACCAACTCACTCCAAGAATCCTCACACTCCACCCAAATTCCAGCATTTCTGATGCCAAGAACAAACATGAATGATCTGTAGGGGCACGCACACTGACCTGAGTGTAACTGTAAGCTTCTTCAAACAGAGGCTGATCCAAAATTTCCCTAATATCCTTGCTCAGCTTTGTTTGAACACTTTTCTTTAAAGCCAGTGCAACCCCCTAATTGTGAGTAGCAAGTCTACTTATTTACTACCTTTGGATTGAAGTGTTGGTTATTATGCAAGTCTTTCTCACACTTTAAAAGTTTGTTCCCACTTTATCTTAATGTGAAGCTCTCCTTTCATATTTTCTAAAGCAATAACTGAAAAACAGTTATATTTTTATATTTGCTTTTCTGAGTTTTGTAATGCACCACTCTAATTAAGAATACAGACATGCATACATATTAGAAAGAAGTATATACAAGAAGGCAAAGGTTAATGAACCCAATGTATGAAATCACAGTCAGATGGTTACTGGTGATCTATGCATCAGTTGCAACAGCAGACTGCCATTAATTAATGGGATGTCAGTTGCATTCCTGGTTATGTGTCTTTCACACAACCAGCAAGGCAACTCGTGTCTCATTAATTACTAGCAATATGATTTTGCAACTTATGCAGTCACACATATGTATGCATAAATGGTTCCCAGGATTTTTGCCTCCTTCATATAAAGGGATTTTGCTTGCAAAACTGTACACATTAGGTAAACTGAATATAAAAGGGCACATGAAAGTTCACAGAAATGCATATAAATGTAAATACAGAGTTTTTAAAAGAAAAAAAAACTTACATTGATTCACACACAGTGCAAAATTAGCAGATGGTTAGAAAATGAGAAACCTGTTGCAACCAGAAATGACAAATTCAGCCTTCCCTTCTCTGTAGTTATTTTGGTTTGAATTTTAAAAATCCATATGTGCTACAGTGTGCATGTAAAATTTCAGATGGTTATGTTCCCTTATTTACTTTAGAAGTGAATGCAGAGAGGAAGAGTTTTACCACCACTCATTAGATTGAATGTGTACAATGGAGCTTCATGTATATTTCAAACTAGGCTGCTCAAAATCTGTTTTTCCATCCTGTTTATTAATTAAACTTGTTTGAAATGTATGCTTAATCAATAATTGAGCTGGAACGCCTGGGTTCAGATCTCGAGTTACGTAAAAGAAATGAAAAGCTTATCTGCTGAAATATTATGCTTAAAAAAGGTAAAGGTTCCCCTTGACAATTTTTGTCCAGTCGTGTCCGA